CTTCTTCCCCAAACCTCCTCTCTAATGGAACCCAAATATGGTTCCTCGCACAATAATAATGGCCAATAAATCTGATTCAAAAAATCAATTACATTGCAAACTTATACCAGATCTATAAAGATTTAAAAAATCAAGGTTAAATCCCCATTTTGGTCCCTGAACTATTGTACGAACCCCCGATTTGGTCCCTGAACTAAAGAAATCCTTGATTTAGTCCTTAAACTATTGTACGGACCCCTGATTTGGTCCCCACTGTTTATAATTTGGCCTAACTTGGTCTTTGAACTATTGTACGGACCCCCAATTTGGTCCTTACTGTTTACAATTTCACCCCAATTTGGTCCTTGAGCTATTATTTAACAAAAGGACCAAGTTGGGGTTAAATTGGTAAACAATAGGGACCAAATTGGGCATCCGTACAATAGTTTAGGGACTAACTTGAGAGTCCGTACAATAGTTTAGGGATCAACTCAGGGGTCCGTACAATAGTTCAAGGACCAAATTAGGGATTTCTTTAGTTCAGGGACCAAATCGGGGGTCCGTACAATAGTTCAAGGACCAAAATAGGGGTTTAACCAAAAATTCAATCATACTGCAAACTTATACCAAATCTGTAAAAGAAAAGGATAATGCAAAAAACACAACATCCCTTCAATCAACACCAACAGTAGCTAGATCTTGAAATGCAAGCAAGCAGAGCCACACAAAACTCTAAATCCCATACCAAGATAGCCAAGCATGACTGCAGCCAACAAAGAAACAAAAGAACAAAGAAACAGAAGAAAAGAAGAAGAAGAAGAAAATGAGAAGGAGAAAAGAACTCGCGCTTAGGTTCCATTGGACCCAGGCACTGGGTTCAAAGGAGCCTAGGTGCTAGGTTCCAAATGGAACCCAAGGCCTGGGTTTGAAAGAATCCGCACCTAGGTTCCAAATGGAACCTAGGGCCTAGGTTCGTCAAACCCAGGCATGTTGGGTTGAACCTAATGCTGGGTTCCATTTGGAACCCAAGGCCTGGGTTTGAAAGAACCCGCACCTAGGTTCTTTCGAACCTAGGCGTGTTGGGTTCCATCGAACCTAGCACCGATTTCCTTCAAACCCAATAGGCAAAGGGAGGAGAAAGGGGAAAGAGAAGGGGAAAAAAAAAAAGAAAAAAAATT